AATTATTTCAGTGGGTCTTCCTCCGAAAACCTACAACACTCATTGGAAATGAGCAGGAATTTCCCTCCCCCGTGCCCTTCTATATCGAAGTTCGATACCCTCTCGGGGACTTTATTGCTCTCCAACTCTGCCCTCGAAGTTACCTGAGTTGAGTACTGACGGAGAGCTATGACCTTAGGGTAAAAATTCGTTTAATGGGGTAAGTTGGTCTAAATTATTATTCAACGCGCCGCCAGCGGGGCTTCAGGCACTTAAATAACGCACCCAAAGTTCCCATTTCATTCATCTCACTTTGATATATGGTGGCACATTACGCTCAATTCTGGTATAGATTCTGAACTATTTTTCCTTTCACTTATAATATACCTGCTAACACTTTCACTTATAAATAGATCTGCTAGCAATATGAGCAATGTTCGAAGCTCATGCTACTTTTAATTTATTAACTCTCGGTTTGTTGCATGAAATCAAGTATCAAAATTCTCGTTGTTTAATTCTAGGCCAGATTACAATACTGGAGGTTGGGAACGCATTAATTTTTTCACATATTTTCCAGCCCCTGCAGGTTCTGTTTTCGTTAGGTAGGATTTTTAGGTAAATTTCCCGGATTGGCCGATGCCAATCCGGGATTTGCATTTCATTGGAATGTTTTGATGCAAGAGCTTCGAACCGTGATCTGCAGCAGATCGTGAAGACTTAGTGTGATGTTTTCAACGATTTTATATCTCTAATGCAAATCGCTTCTTATATCTTTATAACTGTGTTTTCTTTTATCTTCACTAAAGTTGAAGTAGCTTTTTGACAGAAATCTATTTCTCTTACTAAGTGCAGGGTCTGGGATGAGTTAACCTAAATTAAATCACTGATCAACATCAATAATAAAAATTACTGATTAAATACGATTACGTTCAAGGCTCATTCACGTGAGATTTATTATCCCTTAATGCAATGAAAAAGTCTTTCCTAAAAAGTCGTTTCCCAGGGAATGTAGCTTTTGATTTAGTGAAGCCATTCGATAGTAAATTATTTAGATCCGTGTACTCCCTTCAGAATTATTATTTACATTATATGTCATATTATTTAATTATCAGTGCGTAGCTCGCTGGAAATTAAGGTTGAGTTTAACTGAAAATGTTTATTCTGCTATCGAGGTGATTGCATGAGCGATACGCTCGTCCTTTTAAGTTTGTAAATTATCAGCATGTGATGTGAGTGAGTATATTGGATGCATTATAACTTCTCGTCACATATCAGAACTAGCGGGAATGTCGCAAATCTTGTTTCTCTTATCATGATGAAGAACTGCTGCCAGATAATATGAACTGTAACTCTACACTAACTCAGAACTAATGTATTGAAACTTTAAGTTTAGCTTCCTCTACGTTTCTAAGTTTCTATCATCTGCTAACATTTTCTGGTTCCTCGTTTTTGTGTACGATTAGCATTTATTGTTAGTTAAAAATTACAGTATCGTCTAAAAGCATTCGCAATGATGAACTGCTGGGTTTCTATCGATTGCATTAAAGATTAATCTATACTTGAGAGATGAAATTAGCGATGAAGTCTACCCTTGTGACGGTAATCTTGACTCAGTTTACCCTGAATAGGAAACTATCAGTGCTACACGCATAAAGTGAGTTACATTTGGGCAATATGACCAATATATTATCTGAGTGCAGCGCCAGCTATGAACTGCTACAGCCAGGGAAGTCGCCTCTAGAGTGCTTGCTTTTTGCCACAAATTGTGTTTGACATCGCCAGGGAAATGGTCTGGCACTGGAGACGGTACAAAGTCGGCCCTTGTGTAGTGCAGAGAGTATAAACTTAGAGCACCTCGTCCTCCGTTGTTCGAACATAAAGCACATACAGTTATGAGAAAATAATTTGTGGGTGAGCCTTTTTGTTTTGAATAAAAGTAACTTCATGTATATATTTAAGATATGAATTCACGCACCATATCCACGAAATGCTGTGGCACTGGAGACTATAATGTTAGCACTTGTGTAGTGCAGAGAGTACGAACTCTTCACTACACGAGTCACGCGCATGACATATAAATTGCATGACCACGTCATCCTCAAGTCAAAGGCATGACCACGTCATCCTCAAGTCAAAGGCATGACCACGTCATCCTCAAGTCAAAGGCATGACCACGTCATCCTCAAGTCAAAGGTATGACCACCTCATCCTAAATTCAAAGGCATGATCACGTCATCCTCAAATCAAAAGCATGACCACGTCATCCTCAAGTCAAAGGCATGACCACGTCATCCTCAAGTCAAAGGCATGATCACGTCATCCTAAATTCAAAGGCATGATCACGTCATCCTCAAATCAAAGGCATGACCACGTCATCCTCAAGTCAAAGGCATGGCCACGTCATCCTCAAGTCAAAGGCATTACCACGTCATCCTCAAGTCAAAGGCATGACCACGTCATCCTCAAGTCAAAGGCATGTCAGTTAAGTCAATGGCACTGAGTTCCATAGACCTGTTAAGTCAATGGCACTGAGTTCCATAGACCAGTTAAGTCAATGGCACTGAGTTCCATAGATCTGTTATACAATTTGTAACCTCAAATCTGTAATTCAAACGAAAGCACTTCAACCCTGGGTCACGTGTCCGAAAGCGCTTAGTCAGGACCGTGTTTGTCATATCGCTGCAGTGTATCATTGTGAAATCCTGTTTGGCGTCGTGTTAGCTTTGATTGCTGTGCTCCTTGATCGCATGCAAATCTATGCGGTGTGCATGCCCAGACGCCAAATACGTGTCGCTCTCCGCAGGCTGATCCAAGATGTGTCAAAGCATCCCTCAACTGGAAGCTCTGCGCAATGTAATGGACTGAGGCAATCATTAAGCTTAGCGACGACGTTGAGCCGCAAGAAGACGGAACCTTCTTGCCAGCCTTTTTTCATTTTTCTAGATGAATTTAAATGTTACTTGTATCATTAAATTTTCTGATAATAGCGCTAAATTTTGGCTTTGACTTTTAAATGTACAACTATATAAAATTATATACCGTACTATGGTGATATTACTGATATATGTATACATGCGCGGAAGTTATTTCGATTTTTTTCAATGCACCCATTCTGTGTACCCAGATTTTGTGAGCATTTACATTATTTTAAGTTTATTCTACCTTAGCAGAAATTTATTTCGTAAATCAAATAAGCAAGCAGGGATGCAATAAGCAATATATTCTAAATTCTCATGGGTAATGTCACTCGTGTTGCTTCAACAAACGCTCGCACTTTCTGCCTGTAAAAACATTGAGACATTTTTCGGACCAAATCTATTTTCCTCCGGCCATGTCTGTCGACATTCAAGGCAATTTTCGTAAACACATTCAAGATTTCAGATTAAATTTTCAAATCCAATTTTTCTGTTGGTGGAGGGATTTTACTCTATATATTTGGCATCCATTGCTATCGTTACCCGACGTGTTTGGTATTTTTTGACCTGGAAGGATCGGCGTTTCAGCGCCCCGGATTTCCAGTGATGCGGCCATTGACATCAGTTTTCGGTGCGAGATTTGCCGTGATGCCGGCAGCCCGCCAGTCTTGACGGAGTTTTACGAGCAACAGCGATGCAACTGCCGAGGTAATGTCGCCTTTTACTGTGCATTTAGAGCGAAATGCCGGCAAACTCGGGACGTAAATGTTGTTCGCTGCACAGCGGCTGTGACGACACTCTTGCACAATCCTTCTCGTTCCAGAAAGGATTCTCATTTGTTTGGATTGTGCATCTCGATGCCTCTACACAAAGATCAGGAGATTCGTCTTTATAGCTGCTCTGCCTGCAAATGCTTCAATTTGCTGATTTGGATGTTCGCACAATTTCGTCCTGCGCGGAACATGCAGATCTGATGTGCCAATTCTGCAACATCAGATCAACCGATTTTACTTTAAACCTTGAATTAATTTAGATTGGTAATGATAAGCTGATTCTTTGGGCCAAAGAATAATATTTCATAAGCATTACCTCCACAGGAAAGTTTTTTACGTTCAATGAATTCACTTTTCTAAATTTATGCTCAAGCCAAAAACTTTCCGTGAAGAATTTTTCCGATCAAGAAATTAAGTAAAATCGCATGCGGTAGACAGGATGACGCTGAATTTTTTATCTCTGGCATTGAAGTTTCAATATTTTACCTTTTTATTTTCTTACGATGACGTGCCGAGGTGTAGGGATCTTCATATGAAGGACCAAGCCAGTCTTAAGAGACCTGATCGTCTTTTAGTATTCCATCACTGTCACTTTAAGCGCAGCTCCGCAATCATCAATCTCGCTCCAAATCTTGCATAAAGGAAGGACTTTGACTTTGAAATTCGCCTCTTCGCCCAAATTTCCCTCTAGATTTCCCTCTAGACGTACGACTACGTAATTTTTTTTCGAGGGACCTCCTCAGGCTTGAAATCGAAATTATCCAAGTCAACCGCTAAGTGATTCTGGACCGCTGACAATTTCGTAGCCACTATAATAAAATTCTGTTGAATAACGTGAATGACAACAACCTAGATCCCCTCGAAAGCCATACTCATGGTTTTGTCAATAACAAGTGGCATCACCGCGTAAGGATTAGCGCATTACAGAGTAAGGATTAAAATTCTAAAAGCATTCTCAGCTATAATGCGGCTATTCAAATCAAATTATTTTCAAACGTTTCACAAATTCGAATTATTTTAATCTTTTTTATTATTCATTGTGAGGGATTATTATTATGGGTTATTTTTTTTCGATCTAACAAAAACCTTCTCGGTTTGTATTAGCAATTCTCGGGCAATTTTTGATGAACATATATAGACGTCTTGAAATATGATGCCTCATGAGCGTCCACAGCGTTCAGGCGACCATATGCTTATTTCCATCCGTTTCACATCGAAAGTTTACAAATTCAACGATAAATTCAAATATAGTTTATATTAATATTTTTATATATATATATTTTATTTTTTTTAACATATTTCCCTAAATTGAATTATTTTTACTTGTGTGCAGTATTAGCGGCACTAACGACCGTCTGCAGAGCAGCGCCGGAGGCTGGAGCCATACAACTTACCGTGAGTCATAACGATACTTGCTTGGTGATACTTGCCTCTGATACCTGCCTCATGATACCTACTCCATGATACATGCATAACGATACTTGCTTGGTGATACTTGCCTCTGATACCTGCCTCATGATACCTACTCCATGATACATGCATCACGATCCTTGCTTGGTGATACTTGCCTCTGATACCTGCCTCATGATACCTACTCCATGATACATGCATAACGATACTTGTCCCGTAATTCTAGCCTCGGATACTCGCTTCATGATACTTTTCTCGTAATACTCATTTCGTGATACTTTCTTCATGATACTTATTCCTTATACTTGCTTCCTTAAACATGCTTCATTATACTTGATTCCTTAAACCTGCTTCCTTAAACTTGCTTTTTAAAACAAGCTTCCGTACACTTGCTTCATGATAAACGCCACATGATATTGTCGTAATAATGTCGTTATATATATCTCGCAATATACAAACTTCGCTTGACACTTTCCCCCAGTGCACGTGAAACCTGACTCATAGAATGTCTTCGGCAAGTCTTGTTGAAATTTTATAGTTCATGAATTCATTGCCAAGGTAACATAAAGACTGAGACCATTTCACGAGTTTCACTGAATACAAATTCAATTTAGATTGATATGTCGTCCCAATCGTCCCATCAGAAATCATACGTTAAAATTATGTTAGTGAAACGGTGATTTCACTAAATCAACACATAGTAAACGGTGTTTCAACGCCATTTTCGTGGAGGAGTAATTGTACGTTTTTATTACAGTCCGTGGGGGACTCAGGACTACGGAGCGGGCATCAGCTGGAGGCTAGCGGAAGTTCGGTTCCCTTAATGCACTTCTCTCCCCCTACCCATGCCCCGTCCCTATACCCAGTCACTGAGTTGGAATCTTCAGAATTTCTTCCATCCCAACAATACTACCCATCAGCAGCCCGTAGTAAGGCTGGACCCGGTGAACAACGCCTGAGTTCTCAAAGCTCAAACCCATACAACGTCGAGGTTCTTACCCACGAGTCCAACAGCTATCCTGTGGGTACCTCGTTTAGTTTTGCCGACTCCCATAAAGAAGATCACGGCCAGTCTTACGATCCTCCTGTTTATTACCCGGAAGCATCGAAAAGTTCAGACGTTTCAAACTTAGCTGCTTCTTCCCGATCTCCAAGAATTTCTGACGTTGACCTTAGGCAGAAAACTACGGCAGTCTCCCACCTTGATGAGTTTGTTAAACCTAAGGCTGATAGCCCATCCCAGCCTCCCACAGATGGTGCTCAGGATCAGAGCACGACAGCCAAAAGGCCTCTTGAAGTTTCTTCAGTGAGGTTCCAGTGCAAAGGAAGGACAGGATATTTTGGGGATGATGATTTTGCTTGTCAAGTATTTCACTTCTGCAGCCATGATGGCAAGCGGTACACCTTTCGTTGCGGAAATGGCCTGGCTTTCAACGAGGTGAGAAAATCTTTGACCGTGCATGTGATATTTCCAGCGTCATGCAATGACATAGTTTCATGAGGAAAGTTTTTAAGTCACGTAATATTATGGTAAATCCAAAAAATTTGTTATGGATGATTTCTTTAAACGAGAAAATGAAAAACTGTTCGGCAGTAGTGAGTTTGAGAACGACACTGGAAGTACAAATATCGACTGTGTTTAATAACAATTAAATTTAATGCATTTTGTTTTACAGATGACAGTCTCGTGCAGCGCGGCCGACGTAAAACGGTGTTCGCCCGCCATCTTCATTCCCACCGACTCGCCCTCGAGCACGTTAAGCACCTATGCAACCCAGAAAGAAAAGTCTTTGGCCTCATCTGCGGAGTCCAATGGCATTCAAGTCGGGCCAGAATACTCCATAGCAACGATTGCAGCATCAAACGAACGGCAATCCTTTGACAAAAAACAAAGTTTTCCACCTGGGCCTGAGTCTTTGACAGCCTTCGCGGCTATTGCAACAAGTTCCGATAAATCTAAAGCGAAGAATTTACATTCAAATTCTAATTCTAAAAATCCATTCTTCGATCACTTCGAGACAAAAATGAAGAGTCGTATTGTGGGATCAACAAATCGAAGACCTGCCGCAATGTCCAATCATGGCAATGAAGTTTCTTCCGAATATGAATACGTGGATGATTATGAATATGAAGAAGAACCACATTTACAAAATAGCCCCAAGGTTTCCTCTTTCCATTCCCTAAAAACAGATCAAGGCCAAGGAAATTACCAATCTAAAAGTTTTGGAGATTTCTCACGATCAAGTAGAACAAATAACCCAAGACAAGGTCCTTCCCAAGTACGAAACTCTTTAAACCCTACTGGATTTCAACAATTTTCTCCAGCAGGGATTTTCCCCATTCACCGAGGTGGACCGATTATTAATTCAACCCCAAGACCTATATTTTTCACAACTGCGACCCCCATTTACGACATGAGAACAGCTAAAAGAATACCTCTGCCAAGTTCTTTAGATCACAATGTTCACACTCAATCATTAGACCGCCATCCAATCGCTTCACACCTGTCTGCCAACAGGTTTAGAGTGAGACCAACAGCAGCCGCCTTTTCTGGTCATCCTCAGCTTGTATCTCATATTAACAATATTGGTGTATCAGGATTCCCCCAAGCTGGCGCTGCTAATTTCAATAATCTTCAAACTCGCCCGTTTCATCAGAGCTCACTTGAGCTTAACCCATATGCCCATGCTTTACAGCCAATCAGAAATCAATTCCCACCCATTCAAAGTGTGAATCCTTCTTCTTTACCGCTTTTTCATACTGGTTCTCAATCCTTCAGTCATCCTCTTAGCCCTCACGAAGTTAGACATTTACAATCAACAGTTTTCCCTAATTCTTTAGAAATTGCAACTCCTCTCATCACTTCTCCTTTCCATACACCTCTTGAAAACACTCGCCTATTCTCTGGTTCCACTTCTCAAGATTTGAGTCGACCAATAAAGACGTCATCTACTGGTTTTAATTCATTAGAATCACCTCAGTCCAGGCCTATTCACAATTCATTTGAACCAGCCCTTCAAGGTGCTAATGGCCTAAGACTCCATCCTCATCAAAGTTTGAATGACGCATATTACAGTGTAACAACAGCACGCCCTAGACCTATTGACTCATTGCTGTTGCATCAAAGTCAATTCAGCAGAATTCCCCAAACAGCAATTATTAGATCGACACCTAAACCTTTGCCAACTCCTGATGATCGAATTAACCAGTTTTTTGAAGATCATCCACTAGCTGATATTCGTACGAGACCAATTTCAAATGGAGTCTTGAATGCTCACATGTCGTCGGAAGTCAATTTACAACGGCCAACCATTCGTTTTCCAAACCGAGATGTGAATTCTGAAGATTCTCGTTTCCGTCCAATATCCTCGTCTACACAAAGTTCTGTTACTGACTTTCATACAACTGTCAGACCACAAACCACAAGATCACAGAGTGTAACCCAGAGTCAAGACCGACCTCCATCCCGCAGACGACCTGCCAGTCAGTCGCTGAGACAGCACCAACGTCCAAATTCTCAAGCTCAGATCCAAAGCGACCGGAAGCCTCTCACTACTGGAGATTTCCCACGAAAAAATTTAGTTTCCTCCATCGGAAACGACCCAGCGAGCGGCAACAGATTCCCTACGTCAACATTAAGTCCTATTAATTCCCATTCTGCGGCTTTAAACAGTTTCACAACTGCCCGATCCCCCTTGTATCATATTCAAACTGGTTTGAACGATGAATATGAGTATTATGACGAAGAATATTATGACGACAATCATGAATCTGTGAATCATAATCGCAAGCCCCAATTACCGAAAAGTGTTCCGAAACCATACAATGATTACGATGATTACTACAATTCCGACGATGCGCCAAATAAACCACTAAGGTCAAATTCCATTGTCACAACACCAAGACCAAATGTCCCCGCGAACCATGAAACAAACTCTCTTTCAACTAATAATCCGATTTCTGATCAAAAGCCACTCAAGGCAAGTGGTCAGTCAAACTTGACAACTAAACAACCAATTCCACGGAAAAGACCGCCTCGGTTACCTGCTCGGTCCCGAACAAGAACAACGACTCCTCTACCTTCGCATGATTACGACTATGAAGAACATGGTTCCGATGACTCGCCGGCAACGAAAACCACCACAACGGTTCGGCCTACCACCGCTGCTAAGTCAACGCCTAGTCGACAAAGTGTAAGAAGTAGGATACCATCTAGGAAAAGAGTTACTAATACCTCAAAAGATGATCAAAAAGTTAACGAGTCCACAACGGTTTCTTCTACTGAAAATGATCGTGCAACCACCACTCGAAGGCCGAAGCCCATGGCAGCAGGAGGAGCTCCGGCTAATGATCGGCTGTCTTCTTTAAGGAACCGATTGAAAATTCGTGCAAAACGAGTCAAGACCGCCGCCGAAATTGAGTTGGAGGATGGAAGCGATCCATCAACGCACAACAAGTCGTTAGACGAAGAACAAACATTTGATGAAACAAATCCCGGAGCCCCTACGATAGTCGTCCAAGAAATACCTGAAAGTGAAAATGAAAGCACAAGTGATGAACCTCCAAATCCAGAAAATTCAACAAATGTTGAAGTAGATGACACGGAAAAGAAACCTGCAGGTAGAGCATTTAGAAAACGTCCTCTGGACCCTGAAGTACGTGCAAGATTCCGAAAGTTTCTAAAGAATAGAAGAAAAAAATTAGAGATGACCGATTCAGAAAACAAAAGTAATGGTAAGACCTTTGATAAATTAGACCCAATAACCAGTAACAATCATGATGAAATACGGGAGGAACATCAAAGTAATGAAGCATCGAGAGATTCGCTTGCAGAACCAACTAATATTCTATTAGACTCTTTAAAAACACCCAGCACTCATGGCGAGTCCATGGAGCCGATGCAAGAAAGTTATAACGATACATTCCCTGGTTCGACTCCCAGCGTTGACAATGAGCCAATTAGTAGTTCAACTGAGAAGCATTCAAATGTGCATCCTCCTGCAGCACCAGCATTTGCTCCTACCAGTGATACTACTAGACCAGCCTATAAGAAAAATAATGCAATTACGGTGTCTGAAGAAAGCTATTCCTTACTGGATGAGTCCATCAAGGATGAAAATGAGCTTTATGAAAACCAAGAATCGAGATTAATTAGTGAACGAAGACAACGGCCTTCAATTCAGAAACTTGTTAACATGTCTGGGAATGTTTTGACGCTCGGCTCTACTAAAAAAGGAGATGAAAATCGAGATATTCATATGATTGCCAACACAGTAACACCTGAACCCAATAATCGGACAATAAATTTCTCTCTGTCGGATGCAGTTTCTAAAACTACATTCGTGAGTCTCGCAACAACTCCAATTATGGTATCTACAAAGATACTCACTCCTGCCCCCATATCCACTACCATTTCTACTACCACTCCAATTTCTACTTTCACTACTTCCACGACTATGATTCCTAATAAGAAAGTTTCAATTTTTCGGGACGAAAAGCTCAAGAAAAAATCTTATGTGACTTCGAGTTCAGAAGCCACAACTGCCGTACCTGCAGATGACAAAACAGACCTTGCTAAAGTCATGCTCGGTGATTCACCAGACGTCAAAGACCCTCGTCCCAAGATGCCGCACCGAGTCGCCAAACCTGTCTTCAACTTTCAGCGGAAGTATTCTGCTGCTTCGGAAAAGAAACATTTCATATCAGCATCGGATTATGAAGGCAGTGCTGAAGGGATTTCCCGAGTAGATTTAGTATCCTTCACCATGTCAACAGACCCGCCTCTGTTGCCGCTGCAGAAATTGATGCCTTTTCATAAGTGAGTTTGGCGAAGAACTGTATAAATTAAATATCTATTTATAATTAAACTTGCGAAATGTATATTATCTCTAGCTAGCTCAAGTTTGACCACGAGATTTGACGTTCGATATTTTACTATAATTCTATTGTTGTGAAAGAAACCAATGAATGTAAATTTAATAGATATGGTTTTTGAATGATTTTGTTGTTATAGTTGAAGTGTCCAGAATCACACCAGACAAATTTCCTACTATTATATTGTTCTTACTAGAATGTATGGATTATTATTGAAATATCAGCTGAATTTCCTCTGTGGGATTTATACTCAATCGAAATCCCGACTACACCAAAAAATTTTGCAACTTGTCGCAATAATTTTCTGTTGAGCTCTTATTAATTGTAATTTATCGTGAGACGTACTTACCAGTTATTTATTCAGAAAATTTCAGTATCATATAGTTAACTATCGGTTGCGGCAACTTAACTATTTATTCGTTAGTGAATTTTGTTACATTCCTTCACGCTGTTCCAGTGAATAGGTTCGTCAGTACGAGGGGGGACTCGAAAGAATCAGGAATTGTTTTCTTCATAAAATCATTCGTCCAAAGTCTTCTTTTAAAAATTTCTGGAGTGAACGAACTCCAAGTTACTTGGAACAGTTCCGCTATTTCAATACTTCTACGTCCATTGCCATGGATTAGGTTCCTAATTTTCTTAACACTTTTTTTTGGTCGCCCCACGTAAGGTAGTCAGTTTTGCTAGTAATGAACGTAATAATGTAGAATTTTCCCCAGCTATAGCTTTAGTTATGTTTTAGGCTAATTTATTAGCTCGTGAGTATTACAACTTGCATAGGTAATCATTGAAAATAATTACAGAAAATTTTTTCACGTAGTAAGTTTCCGGTTAAACAATTAAATTTGTTGGATCAATTCTACTAATGACATGTTTGAGAAAGCTTATTCCACTCTCGGTATGTAGTAATGTATGTTTTTCTAAGTGTTCATGTATTTTCTATTAATCAATTTTAGTAACTTATTAAATCCGTTATATATGAATTTATATAACAAAAGGATTAGCGGCGCTGTTGCCTGAATGAGCTAGTTGGTCTCAGTCGAAGTTTTACTCCCGATTTCTGCGTCTGCAAAATTCCGTTACATTTCTAATGTGCAGCCAGTGTAACATCATCAATTGGAAAAGAAATGTACTTGTATTTTACGACTTAACTCCATCAGTAGGTACATAATATGAGAAAAAAAATGAAAAGCTTCCATAACTCTTTAACAAGTGATATTTGAGTTCAAAACAAGCGGCTGCGATTGGCCGGAAGCTGAAATATTAAGAACGTCTTGCTGCGCTAAATTGATAATCTGTAATTGTGCTCCGGCGGCAGAGTATCTATTTTAGTTTTAATTTAAATTCGAATAGGTCAGTCGGTCGGTCTCGCCGGCCTAAAAATCATAGCTTCGAGATATACATATTACATAATGGTAACTTCTAACGAGAGAATCCTGTGTATAGCCGTATATAGAAGTGATATATCATAGTTCGTAATGGAGAACAAGTTATTGTGATTGTAAATATAGTAAGTACCTACATTTCAATGACAGTGTGTTTTCTTTCAAACGCGTAACTACTTTTTTCATTATGTAATTAATTAGTCACTGCAATTTACGTTTCAGACATTGCAAAACCGCTCGGGTCGATTACATGCTACAAAAAATATTGCCTGAGCCATGCATTTGTTCACTTGCATGAGTAATGATTTACTGAAAGGCTACATACCTAAACACCTTTAAGTCACTTTTCGTGACAATCCATTACCACACCTGGTCCATTGGTCAAACTACGAAAGGGGGAGAGCACGACAGCCAATGATCTGTTGACGGCCCACTTGACGCCAGCCTCAGCCAACAGCTTTACATAATCAGTGCCATTTTGGTCGCTTCGTTTTCTGTCAATCGACTAGGATGTCTTTATGAAACCTAACTATACCGGACTCGTAATTTCAACATAGTAACTAACGTTAGGATAGGCTTCGTTAGAACTAGCGGCAAAGTCAATTGCTAAAGCAGTTTTCTCAACATTTTTTGTAGCGCGGTTTGATGCTCTGTTCATTAGTTGTTAAACTGGAAATCGCGTCACCGGGCTAAATATTTGAAGGATCAGTGTCAGTGTATATACCGTAAATTTCCAACATAATCCTTTATTAGGTAAAAGTTAGCGACACGAGAAGTTCTGCAACCCATCATTTCTTTTCTTTAGAAAGTATCAATCGATGGAATCGATCACGAGAAATTTTTTATTCTAGCATACAATTAAACCTATAAGAACAGCAACACGGCCGAACGCCATGCAATGGTATGACTTCTAATGCAATTAATTATCTAATTAACCGGCATCTGATCATTATTCCCTTTTAGAATTCTCTTATGGTCTTAGCTTCCCTAATATCAAGTTCCTTGTATGTTTTGTCGTTGTTCGTAACACGAAGTTCGAGCGATGCTCCTTAAACAAATTTTACCTCTTATGGCAGTATCGAATCTCCTTACACATCCCTTGTTAACAAATCAAGCACAATCACTAATTCTCATTTATTACTCCAAAATCGTGTGATGAACTTCCTCATCCTACGAGCATCCTTGCATCTCTATGGAGGCAAATCGAGCCTGATAGGCGTGACTCTGAGTATTTCAACTTGGTCGTCGCCGAGGAACACTGCAGTCACCCTGACGCAGTCGACGCAGTAGTGATACAGCAGGTCAGGACAGTGCGCGCGACGGTAATGTGACCGTACATCCGAGCCCACGCTGCTTACGATCAGGTTCCGGAGTCCTGAGCTGTCCTTTGTAAACTTCAGTCTGAAAAAAATAACGCAATTATGAATTTAGATATAGTGAATTATATTATGAATTTAGATATACGGCGAATTAACGCCGTTTGTTGATATTCGCTGATCCAGATTTGGTAGTAGGACTTAAGGTAAGTAGACTAAGTCGCGAAGTGAAGTACTATTCATCAGTCACGCCGGGAATGATAATATCATGATATTGTATTATAATTTTTGCAATGGGTGCGTAATTTCTGATCACACATAGTCTGCGTGAATTAGAAAAAAATTTAACTGTTTAATCAACGAACAAATTTGGTTTAAAATTCAGCAGTAAATAGACAATAGACCAATAAACCTAATATAAACCCGAATCAACCATGTATAATATAATAAAATATTCTAAAATGTTAGACAAATTGGTTCAAAATTATCACTTGAAAGAAAATTATTGTTGATTCATAGTTAGAAAATAATCACGAAATGCCAGGTACTAAAAATTAGCTAAAAGTTAATGCGCTCACCTGAATTCTTCCTTCTCAGCATTAGAAGAAAATCTGAGCAGTTGTTTCTCAGCCACAGGATTGACCACGACATTCAAACTTCGCTGCTGCGCGTCTTGCAGCCACTGGGCTGTGCGAACACACACTTGTGTCTGGTCTTCGAGTTCCTGTAGAACTTGACCCATCAGAGCAGCATTTTTCATTTGTTGAGAGGAGCTCAAAGCCACTGTTGTGCACGTACTCTTCGAATCATAAGGCACTTTATTGCTTGCTTTTAAATCCGAATCTGGAATCGTCAAGGTTTCCGGAACACATGAATTGCATTCAAAATCTTCTTGGACAAGACGTTTTGAACTTTGATGCAATTTGAAGATTTTTTCTGATTTTAACTTTGCTTCATCTACAGGACTTGTATGAAGCAACAATGGATTAGTTAGTTCAGATGATACGCTAGATTTTCCATCATAATCGGCGATGAGATTTTCTTGTGAGAGTTCCACAAGATTTTTGGTATTCAATGAAGAATTCTCATTTAATTCATTGCATTTGGGCTCAATTTTTTTTCTTGCAATAGCTTGTTCACCACTGCAGCTGCTGCCTGTGCGCGCAAGGACGCGTAAGGAAGAGTCGTCGTGGCTCACAGGATTGTCGTAGGCTGGTATGAAAGGTTTTATGTCCAAGATAGGAGTACCATCTAGCAGATCCACGCCCGAAACGTGCACGGTGTCGCCTGAAGTTACCATTCATCAAACCTTTATGCATACTAATAGTATCATTAAAAATACATTTAGTAATAAAATTCAATAACATGATTGACACTAACCTTTAATTTGCTAACTACATTCAGACCGTGGGCATGATTTACAATAGAGTCAGCCTAACTTTCAGTTGCCCAGCAATATACTATTCTCTCGTCAATTTATGAATTATGTTATGGTCACAGTACAATTTATCTGTACTGTTTATCACAGTACAATTTACCCTATTTGATTTAAGTAGATTAAAACATACAACTTACCAACCACAGAGTTGAGTTTAGCAAGCGTGAGTCCTATGGGGTTAGGTCGGTGAGGAGACCTAGTGGCAAACACCCCCAGCTTGTCCCCACACAGACGAGGAGGCGACACTTTGGCTTTAGTAAAGCCTTTGCCATTGTCATGGAATATGAAGAGCAGCCTGGAGTGTTTTCGTAGTATTATTCTTACTTTCAACCACAATATTTCTATTTGAGTATAATAATGGCTTTGTAAACACACTAAAATGAACTTTGAACTTGGTTGTTCTGTTAAGGTTAATAATCAACACAGGTGCAATGAAAGAAAGAGATATTGTGCAGCAGCGGCTGAGATGACAAATCAACATGATGCATGAACTATTTTAATTCTATAGTTGATATCTATTTAAATGAACTCCATAGGAATACTGAAATAATTTTTAATATTTTTAATTACCTTTAAACCAAATAATTTAAACTTTAAACTATTGTATATAATAATAAAAATTACTAATACATGGAGTAGAAAATAATCAGATAAAAGACATTGGCCTTGGCTTCAAAAAGCTAAATGATCAGCACCAAGAGCATGATACCAACCAGACATGAGAGTATTGGTCCAAGCCTTCTAAACTGTGATGAGGATTGTTGAAAGTATCTGAGGAAATGCGAATGCTGCCATTGCTGTCAGACGCCAGACATCCTTGCCGGGGAGTGCCACTCTTCTGCACAAAGGCTGATTTCATGAATCCTGTACAAAAAAATAGAACCTTGGGAGAAGAAGCAAACCTAATTTGCAGTAAATTACACATTTATATTATTCAAATATGGACATGAATCAGCAATTCATATGCTTACTATTTTTGCTAATTCCAGGTTTATTTCTTAGAAAGAATAAATACAAATGAGAATCAACTTAGAATGCTTCAGTCATAAATGAGGCATGTTAGTGATGTACACAAACAAAAGAAAATTAGCACCTTAAGAAACGTACCAATTGGATTTAAGCTGAAACTGCATACTATTTGTTTATCCAGCTTCAGAGGCACTCTTTCATCCAGAATGTTGACACCATCCTCATCTACCTTCTGTACATTCTTGTGGACATTATCTTGCAGAAGCTTTTGGATTTCATACACATCCTTCTTTTGTTTGAAAGATATATCTTGGATTTTTTGCCTGCCAATATTAAGAAAGTGATATACAAATTTCAAAATTAACAAGAAAGTTTCAGAGATAATGATCATGGCTATGCAATCTCAAATATAAAGTAATGAATAAGGGCAAATTAAAAGTTATATAGAATTTATTTTCATAAATTTTGAAGAGATTCCTGCCAAATGTACCCTGATAGTATGCATGTAGAATCATTTTATGGACATCTTCTAAGTAAGAATAACCATTTGGAATAATATATTATTAACTCAAGTTGGGATATAATTCCCGGTTTCTGCAGGGCAACAGTTAGATCTTACAAATATGTAAAGACAATTAGGCAGGTATATATATTTACTATTTTGACTAAAAAAATTGAAACAATTCACATGCAATGTTAAAGAGAATGATCAATATGTCTATATTTAACAAAGCTCATCTAAAATGCTTTGGGACAGTGGGCTACAATACCTGAGATTTTTTATTTCCAATCTTGCAGTGGATAGTTGCTTTTCAATACTTTCAAGCAATTGATTAGTAACCTCACCATAGTTTTTTATAGAATTACAATTCATTGCAATAAGTTATAGATGCACTTTGAGATATATTCAATTATAATGAAGCCTTAGTTGGTTAGCACTTTGGCTGCCTTGACTAGAAGATAGATTCAAAATAGCATACATTCTTTGTTTTGCAAAAAAATGGTTTATTGATTAATTACATGTTAACAATACCATAAATTTTTTAGCTATTTGATTTGCTGTTTATCTAGTGGTCACTAGTCATTTCCCTACAAACAAGAAAACCCAGAAGCAAAATTTCATGTCTCATGATGTTCAAGACTAAGAGCAAAATTATTTTCACACTAATATTCTAAAATTCAAACACACTATACCTTTATGGCATTGGCAAATGAGTGAAAGTGAAGTCCAATTTGGAATATTTTACAAAATTTTCTTAAAATTCTAGGTAAAAACAATTGTTTCACATGTGATTTTCAAAAATCACTATTAAGAATAGGAAATTTTCCTTTTTTTTCACCAAAAAAATTAGGAAAGGTTTATAGGAATGGGCAAAATTGACAAGATTCACAGGCATTTTCAGCCATATTTTCCAGTTAGGAGTGAAGTCTATTAATAGTGTGCAGCAATGTAACTATGCACTTGCTTAACTGGCATTCAATTTGGATTTTGGAATATTGGGCAGATTCAATTTCAAACAATGTAGGAATACACAAATATTTTGCACTTTACAGATAATTTTCAAAAATCTCTGGCAAAAGAGCAAATGCCCATGCTATGCTTACAAGTTGCAATCAATTCTGCAATCAAGCAACCTAGACTGGAATTTTCCTATGTTTGAATGAAATATAGTGGCTCCAAAGTGACCAATTTTTTATACATTGTAATCTTGCAGTGAAATTATATAGTTTTATTCCCAATTAGATAGAAGATAGTTCAGCTAGTGCAAATTTCTTGGCTTCTGTCAATAATACTCTAGTTACGGCACCAACAGTAGATATAATGCAAGCCAAATTCCTCCCAGGCAGGCATGGAATACGGTATATCTACTTGGCAAGCCGCAGCTGAATTTTTTGAGCTGTGGTTTTATGGATTTGCCAGCCGTGATTCCATTTCTTTGAGCCATGAATTCCATATCTTGGCCATAAAATGCCATTTACGAGCCACAAACTTATTTACCAAAGTTTATGTGTTATCCCAAATCCCCAATTCACCCTAAAAACAGTCAAACAGTAACACTAACACTTGTCTTCACCTAAGGGGCAACTGAATACATGATAATACAGCCTGCCTGCTCTGGCGTGACCGCAGCTATGCAATCTTCAAGAACATGTTTCGGGTTGGCTCGTTGTTATTACATTCAGCAGGATATTTTGGCAGGCGTGGTGAAGTACTGCGGACTGCAGACGTTTAAAATTTTATGAAACAAAATGCTTGGGAAGTGCAAACCGCAATTTCTTCAATCAAGCAAAAATACATGACATTAGAGCCACGAGATTTCATATCTACTGAAATTATACGAAATTAAAGCCGTGATATATCAGAAAAAGAAACGAAATTTTCCAAACCAGCTACCTGGCTACCAATTTGAAATATAGGTATGGCAGAAGTATCTAAATACACTGGTAAAAACAATCATTTCAAGTGTTATTTCAAAAAATTGCAGGTGTAAAAGACTTTCAATTACTTTTCACCAAAGAAATTGGTAAAAATTGACAAGAAGGTAGATTAGAATCATTAGATCATTAGAAATCTAGAAGATAGATAGATAAGAATGGATTATATTGGCCAGAAATTCCAGAATTACATGTGTTTTTGTCTGATTCACAGGCATTTTTTTTTTTTTGTCAAATTATCCCCATAGGTTCCCATAGACATACAGGCATATGTAACACCTTGCCAAAGTTCTTCAGTAAATTGTAGAAAAAAACATTTTTGCCAGAAAGCTAAAATTTTAGAAAATCACCTATGGATGTCAGATGATACTTTTTTTCATGTTGTTTTAGCAGAATTCTTACAGCTTGTTAGAGTTTCAAAAACATAAATTCACAAGACAACTCAGTGAACTCAGGGCTGGAAAAGTCCTATTTCTTTCTGAAATATCGCGGCTCTAATATCATATCATTTCATTAGGTAGGTATGAAATCTTGTGGCTCTAATGTCTTAAATTTTTGTTTGATTGAAAAAATCAGTTTGCAGTTTGCAAACATGTCATTTAATAAAATTATCAACTTCCGCAATCTGCAGTATATATGCTTCATTAACTTTAATGCTCCCACCTCCCACCCAAATAACATGCAGAACGTAATAACAAGTCAACTCAAAAATGTTTCCTCCAAGAAGATCGCATAGTTGCAGTCATGTCAGAGTGGTCCTACTGCATTGTTCAGTTGCTGCTCAAGTGAAGACATGTGCTAGTGACTGTCTTTTGTAAGGAACTTTGTAAATAACATGGGACTTTGTAAATAACAAGTTCTTGGGTAATGAATGGTTTTTCATGACCCTGATAAGGAATTCATGGCTCAAAGAAATGAAATCACAGCTGGCAAACCCCTGAAGCCATGGCTTGAAGAAATGGAAACACATCTGGCAAACCAATGAAGCCATGGCTCAAAAAATCCAGTTGCAGCTTGCCAAGTAGATATATTCCATGTGAGTGAACTCACTAATCAGTAATTCACTGAATAGTGAGCATACTCAAGTGAGACTGACGCAGTGACAGTAAGTGAGCTGTGAGACTCAGTGAGTCAAGTCATTGCTCCAATCTTCTTTTTTGTCCTCAAGCAAGTCTCTATCACCCTGACTCAGACAGCCACCACAGGCATGGAATATACAGTGGGAGGAAATAAATATTTGTACACTTGAAAAATCATATTTTAATGTATGTAAGTACACAAACTTAACAGGAAAAGTGATTTAAATTATGTATAGACATGCATAGTATTCAAAAATACTATCGAAAGAAATTAAATCTCAATGCAACAAAAAACAATGCAACTTAATGCGGATTTATTGTTTTGTACGAATACTTTTTTCACCCGAAAAGTGAACATGTTGCATTGTTTTTTGTTGCATTGAGATTTAATTTCTTTTGATAGTATTTTTGAATACTATGCGTCTCTATACATAATTTAAATCACTTTTCCTGTTAAGTTTGTGTACTTACATTAAAATACGATTTTTCAAGTGTACGAATATTTATTTCCCCCCACTGTATCTACTTGTCAAGCTGCGACTAGATTTTTTGAGCTGTGGCTTCATGGGCTGTCCAGCCCATGTATAGGTAATACCGTATATTCTCATGTTAACTTGAGAAAATGTATTGGAAAACCAACCACTTTACACCTTGCACTGCAGTGAAAATTGATATACTGAGCTCATCAGAAACTTTCGCGCTTCCAAAATCAAGCGTGGTTTGAAATCCAATAACGTGTTGGCAACGCCTCCGTCAATCAAGTTCACTAGTTGTTTATCTGTAGTTGACAAATTTGTGCAATGAATATGTTCTAAAATAAAAAAAATCATATCCATCTTCACAAAAATTCTCATGATTGGACAATGCCAAAAAAGTTTTTGATATCACACAAAATTATGAGATAAACTGTCACTCTTGCACTGCATACAAGCACAGCGTGCTTCCATGAAAACATTAGACATGGCGGCGTCACACACTTTTGTTTTGGTTCTGTCTAGTTTGATTTCACAATAAATGGATTTGATCCACATTCCATACTGAGATTTAAATGATGGAAAGTTGTTTTAAATTATAAACACCCATTGATACACATCCAGATATGAATCTTTTCATATTTTTGCCCTATTTTGCTGATATTGTCTAAATAAGTTCACTTCATATTCTGAATGATTTCGTCTCCCATCCCAAGATTTCAAACGTCTCATGTCTTTTAGAAAATGTTCATTGTTTAGAAGCAGAAATTTTTTTTTAAATCAAAATGCATTTAGTCATGTAACATGTGGCTTATTTAAATTTAACAGCTTTGATGCATTGATATTTAATCCCTAAAATTTGTGTATTAGTATTAAAAATTCATAATTTGATGCATGAACAAAATAGATAATTAATTTTATCCATCAGTTAATAGGAAGCAAATTTAATGATTAGTTATGAATACCAGGAAAAATCATTTAAACGGTTTCACAACTTGAAGGACCAGCCCCTAAATGAGTAAGCAAGAGGTATTTGTGATTTTAATGCTCAATGTTTGCCTAGATTATATTGACCAGTCAGTGGCAGAACAATGCGACACATTGGCAGCTAGCTACCCAAAGCTTGCCGCTCAGGTTACTTTGAAAGGCCTTGGCACATATTTCTAAAGCTACTTGATTTTTAGAAATATGATGCTAAAATTAATGATCCATATTAGAATTCAATAGACATAACGCTTTCAGAATTAATTTGAAAAAGTTGGCACCTTATGATTTATAATTTACAATTTATAATTTTGCAAATTGCATAATGCAATGCACAAATTCAAGATCACCTATGAGTATGAATTTAAATCTCATGACTAGAGAAGATTTAAAAATTTATTGTACTACTATCGCATAAGCGTGATATAAGCTTTTTGTCCTTTCGATGAACAAAGTTTATTTAGGTTCTATATACCGTAATGGGTAGAACAATGCGACATATTAGCAGCCATCCAACAATAGGTTGACATTCAGCTCTTGATAATGCTAATTAATGGCATAAAAATATTGTGGAAGATACATCTTCCAAAAGTTTCAAAGCAAAGATTTTTATTTAAAGGATTATAAATCACTTTGTAATTGTTTAATCCCTCTTGTAGGTATAAATAAACATCACTCAATTCATTTTAAAAGCATTTCATAAATGAGCATTTGAACATTTCCCAAATTAACAAAATAGTTTGTTTGAATTCCAGATTTCTACAAAATATTTCAAACCTCTATCAGAAATAACATCACTCTCTTAATCTTATAAATAAATCACTCTCTTGCTCTAAATCAGTGGTTCCCAAAGTGGGCAATATCGCCCCCCTAGGGGCGGTGGAAAGATTTTGGGAGGCAGTAAGGAAGAAGAGGGCAGTAGGGGGGCGGTAGTCCGAAGTCGATGTCAGAAGTGCGAACATTTGTTTGACAATTTGTACACAACACGCGCAGCACATGACTCCCAGCGATGGTTTTTTTTTCACCCAGATCTATTTTTCAACCGCTCCTGGGTTTACGTCTCTGACAAATTAACGGCCGGTCTCACGGCCAATTCCCAAATTCANATCTTTAATTTTTAAAATTGCAGGGTACTAAATTTCAAGAAAAAGGCGTATGTCTGTGGGGGGGCGCTAGAAATTCACTAGGGAGCCAAAGGGGGCGCCAGCCTGAAGAAGTTTGGGAACCACTGCTCTAAATATACAAATGATAGTAGATTAGTTGGACTTGGATACCGTAAACAATGATTATTCCATTAGATTATTCACCTGGAGGCGGGAATGAAGCTATATCAGTTGCACGCTTGCTCTTGTGATGTGTAGTTCCACTTGCCTGAGTTGCGTGTTTAGTGTGCATCTTGGAAACTCTGCCTTGCAGCGTAGTTGTAATTAATTTATGTAGTTTAGTTCACTGTGATCAACTTGAGAGACAAATCTTCAACTAATACTTTTTATAAGATTAATTAAAATTGTTGAGTGAAAGGTACAGGCATGCAACTTCCAAGTGATTGCATTATAGAAACTGAGCCAGATAGCATACACATTTTAAATTTTTAAAAAATTCATTTTTTTTTTTTTTTTGCCTCAAATAATGTTGTTGTATCAAGAAATTGGTCTTGGTGGATGGAAACAATATATGAACCACCAAAATTAGAATTCCATCCTGTCCAGCTGTGATTCCATTTCTTTGAGCCGCGAATTCCATTTCTCAGCCGTGAATTCCATATCTTGGCTGTGAAAAGCCATTTATGACCTGCAAACTTGTTATTCACAAAGTCCCATGACTCCCATGCATACTAAGTCCCATACAAAAAACAGTCACTAGCATTTGTTTTCACTCAAGCGGCAACTGTACAAGTGATAATGCAGTATGACCATTCTGACATAACCGCAACTATGCAATCTTCATGGAGGAAATGTTTCTAGTTGACTTGTTATTGTGTTCTGCATTTTATTTTGGTAGGAGGCAGGAGCATTGATGATTGAAGCATATATACTCTGAGAAGCACATATAAACTTTGAATTGCATAACTTAGCAGCGGAAACTGAAAATTTTATGAAATGACAATTGACATGTTTGTTAAGTGCAAACTGCAATTTTTTCAAACAAAAATTTATGACATTAGAGCCATGAGATTTCATAGCTACTGAAATTATATGATATTAGAGCAGCAATATTTCCCAAAAAAAAAAGTAAAACTTTTCCAGCCCTGAGCCACTATGTGACTGAGTCCATGACTATACTATTTTAAATAATAAAATAATAACGGTTTCAAGTTTCAATGTTTAGTAGGCCGTAGCCCATAGGCCTGTTGCCAATTCTTAACATTGCAAGCCAGAACATTCACAGCATTTTGCAGTCTCAAACTCGCAACTCAGAACTCACTGCTACAATTCTGGTTTGCTTAACTGCCCTGGTCCACTCAGCCTCCTTGCCGATTCAGACCATAAACTGGCGCACAGAGCCAGGATCAAATCCGCACCTCTCTGCTCCAATCCTGGTACCTACTCTGAACTGTGAACTTTACCCACTGGACCCCCCTGCCCAGGGTTTTGACCAAAATTTTGACCATAACTGTCAGTGATATATATACTGTCAAATGGGGTAAAAAGGGATGGTTTTGAGAGTTTTTAGTTAATAACGTCTTACCATGAAACATTTCAGAAACAATTTAAGGCTCATTTTATAGCTCTTTGCGAGGGCTATCAAATGGCATCTTCAAAAAATTCCATATGCTATTTGTAAGGTGCCAGACGCAAAATAAAGCTGTCCCGAAATCCCCCTGGGAGCAGGGTAATCCGGGACACTCGAAATAAAACCTAATTTCAAAGTATTTTAAACATGCAGAGTGTACTCACCTATTACCAGCAGTACTCCAAAGTCCTCCACTTCCTTTTAGATGTAACGTAACAACAAGGAGCTCAACAAGCTTCTTTAGGGAGTGACCATTGCATTAAGATAGAGTGAACAGGATGTTAGGAGTTTTGCCTAACATCCAGGCTGTTCTGCTCCCCAAGAAGATTTTATTCAAATTTAAATTTTCACTTAAATTTAAAATTTAAGCATAAATCTCTATGATTAACCCATATTTATCTTAACTGCGGCCTTTGCTAACAGAGGATCTGCTGTAAATGTGTTTTAGGGTTGTCCCTAATTACCCCGGAAATTGTCCCTAATTACCCTGGGGGGTGTCCCTTTTTACCCCTTCCTGCAGAAATGGCTGTCATTTTTTCAATGAGATAGGCAAATTCCGTCAATTACATTTTCAAGCCCACACCTGGGTGCAACTTTTATGCAAGTAAAAATTTTAAATATGGCAAATAATTTTTTTGCTCCAGACCTTAGCAGAGGTATTTTTCTGAAAATTGCACTTTTCACATTTTTTTTCAGCAATTTTTTAGAGATAGTAAATGTTCGATTTCTTGACTAGCTTTATACATAATAGGAAAAATGTTGAAGTTTATGCCACTATTTTTAGTTCTGCTATATTTTGATTAGTTTAGCTGCTACATCATTTCTACAAAATGTGGGATGCACATCCCGATTTTCCCCGCCTGTTCCTTTTTACCCTGTTTGACAGTAGGTATATTACTAAATTTACTATTTGTGGTTTACTCGGAGGACTCAGAAGTAAATAATTTAAAAATGTCTTTGTTTTGCAACTAATTATGCCTGAGCACGCCGATGCCGCAATGCACTGTCTGCATGGCAGCAATCAGCATGATAGCATAGTGGCAATTGATAGCATCAGTCACGTCTGCAGAGGAAGTGCAAACTGCAAAGAAATGACAATGCTGGTCAATGCCTCAATGGCAATGATCTGAAGTTATTCTAAAGTCTAAACATTTTATGATTTAAGTTTAGGAAAAATATATTCATACTGCAAAATAAAGACCTCAGTAGGCTCAAAGAATATATTACTATGAACAAAGACCAGTAGACCACCCCAAGTCCGTGCATCTGAAGATGATATTCCACTTTCAATTTGGGCAGAGCAACTGAGAGCAGCTAAGAATGTAACAAATGAATTCAAATGGAGACAAGCAAAAATTTCTCTCCACCTTATGACATTGAATATAAAGACAGTCTTATTGTTGATGAAGAATGGCAAACATTTAGTGCAACTTCATTTTTCAATTTGATTTTTGATAATGCTCTATAGATTTCATTGTTTACCAAGTATAATGCATGCACTACAAAAGGATGGCAAATAGATGCCTCTTGAAAATACTGACATGAAATGCTTTTTGGGAATTCTACTTCTCACTGGAGTGGTTCTTTTTTTAATTGAATTATTAGGCTTCGGGTATGTAGAAAACACAGCTCCCAGCCTGAGCACCAATTGAATTTTGATTTGAGTCACTTCACTCTTAGACTTATTTTCTATTCTTGCCACTTTGCGTTTGAATGCATCACTTCCGCATGTTTCACCAGCCAATGTGGCAGTACATTGTTGAAAGAAGAGTAAAATTGGTTTCAGATGAACATTCACAACCTGGCCACGCCACCATATTGCAGTTCAGCAAGTAATGACCAAGATGTCGAATGACAGTAGTGCGACTCCTCGCTGGGATGTCCCCTCCACCAAGAGCCTTGGTAAGATCCCAGGGAAGAGACAGGCCTTCCAGTCTTGTGCAGAAATCTCTTCATTGTTCAGTGAATTGTGTGCGCAATGTAGTATAAAATGGCTGACTGTGCCCTCAACACCACATGCTGAGCAGTTACTTGAATCTGCCATGTTGAATCTGGCCAATTGAGCATTTACACCAGCGTGCCCCATGCAAAGGCATGACACAGTACATTCAACTGAGCATGGCAGCATTCCATAGTCCACATAGGTAATAGCTGGCCTTAAGCTCCATCGAAAGATCCCCTATTGGAGTCCCATGGTATTATAAATGTTCCCAGTTTTCGGATTTGGACATACTGGAAGAAAGGCCTGCAAGTCTGCAACTAGCAGCAATATCAGACATCATGACTCATGAGTAGAGACAAGTTTGAAGAGATATATTCATTTCAACAACACGCAACAGAAGACCAGAGATGATCCTGATTTTGATAAGTTATTCAAAATAAGACCCATAATTGAATCTGTCAGAACAAATTGCGGGAAGGTATCGCTGGAAGAACATCATCAAGGTGTAGACGAGCAAATCATTCTGACAAAAGCACGCATATCTTTGAAACAAGACAATCCAAAAATACCTCACAAATGGGGATACAATTACAAATTAATATCACGAGCTGGATCAAGTGGGTTTGTTTATGACTTTGAGATATATACAGCAAATCTCAGAAAAATTATGACCTTCACCTTGGTGTTGGAGTATCATCTGCCTAGGTGCTTTGTCTTGCTGAATTTTAATTTAAATTGATTTTAAGACTTTGGGTGTGAAACAGTCACACCTCCCAGCCTGAGCACAACTCGATTTTTCTTGAAAACTCAAACTCAACTGCCTCTTCACTTCATTTTGAATTTTTCTTCATGCTCTCACAAAGAGGTTTTTGTGTGGAAGAAAATAACAAAGGAATTAGGCACTGCTAATTTTCATAGGGTGTTCACCATGCTGCATCTTAGCAGGTATTGTCCCAGGTGATGAACGACTGCAGTTCTTCTTTTTTGAGGAATATCACCCCCTCCCAGAGCAGTGATGAGGTTCCAAGGAAGTGAAAGGTTCTCCAGATTTGAGCAAAACTCCCTACTCTGATTGATGTATAGCGAATAGTGCAAAATGAAATGCTCAATTCACAATTGTGTCTTCTGTGTTGCATGTGGGGCAGATGTGGCCAAGTGGGCTTTCACACCAGCATGACCAAGCCGCAGACGAGCCACAGCACATTCAACTGAGCGAGGTAGCGGTCCATAGTCCACATAATTTACCGTCTCTCCCAAGCCCAGTCTGAAGGTTCCCTTCCCTGAAGACTGCACTTCCTCTGACCACTAGAGTGACCAATATTTCAAGAATTTGTTCTTTAACAGACAGAGCCACTCCTCAAAGCACAAACTGGATCTGGCAGAGCGATCATTTGCATGTGCAAGGTTTGCTATTCTATCAGCCACTTCATTCCCACAAATGTAGCTATGGCCACAAACCCAACACATCATCACTCTATCGAGCCCCTTGATTTGCATCAGTTTATGAATTTGAGCAATGATTGAGCAATAGGAGCAAACTGACAGTGAAGAAAGAATTTGCAGTGCTGCTCGTGAGTCAGTCAGGATCAGAATTGGCTCGTCCTTCAGAGATTCATCAGTGATGGCAAGCTGCATGGCTTTGAGTACCGTAAAATGGGGTTACTTTGACCGGCGAGGTAACTTTGACCACTTTTCATTTTTTTAACAAAAACCCCCAAAACTCAAAAACAATTCAACATAGAAAAATGTTATCAATGGCCATCAAGGCCTAATACTGAGGCTACGTAACACAATAGAAAGATTTAAAAAGTTTGCATATCTAATAGGTTTAAAAATTAAAAATGTGACCCACAAAAAAGAGCTATTATTTAAAGCCTGTCGGAGTACCCCCTCCCATTTTTTTATTTTTTGGTTAAATAACTCCAGGTTTTGATGCATTGTAGTAGAACTCTTCTAGTTACATATGCAAAAGACAAATTTTAGAAAAGTGTCATAGTTTGCAAATGGGGGGTGCCGCCCCCCAATGGGGTAACTTTGACCACCTAATGGCAGCCGAGGCGGGGTAACATTGACCGGCTTGGAAATTAAGTTAAAATTACCATAGGTACCTATATAACATATTTTATGTTTGATACACCTATTAATGTTTTTTTCTTCATGTTTCAGACTCTACAGTCTTATATATGGTAATTTTAAATTAATTTCCAAACCGGTCAATGTTACCCTGTCACGGCTGCCATTAGATGGTCACATTTTGCCCAAATTTGGGGCAGCGCCCGCCATTTGCAAACTATGACACTTTTCTAAAATTTTTCTTTTGCATATGTAACTAGAAGAGTTCTACCGTAAAATGGGGTAACTTAGACCGGTGGGGTAACTTAGACCACTTTTCGTTTTTTTTACAAAAACCCCAACTCAAAAACTATTTGACATAGAAAAATTTTGCCAATGGGCATTAAAGGCCTAATACTGAGGCTACATAACACAATAGAAAGATTTAAAAAGTTTGCATGTCTAATAGGTTAAAAAATTAAAAATGTGACCCACGAAAAAAAGCTATTATTTAAAGCCTGTCAGAGTACCCCCTGTCTCTTATACACATCTAGATGTGTATAAGAGACAGCGCCAATAGTGCTTAGCGCAAAACGACCTCGTACGGTTTAACTACTTCAACGCTTATAACTCAGAAAATATTCAACCCAGAGAGTGCGGAGTGATGAAATAACGTGAATCAATTACTTATTCACTGTAAATAATCACTCCGCACTCGACCACGACATTTAGCAATCGCCAATAGTGCTTAGCGCAAAACGACCTCGTACGGTTTAACTACTTCAACGCTTATAACTCAGAAAATATTCAACCCAGAAAGTGCGGAGTGATCAAATAACGTGAATCAATTACTTATTCAATGTAAATAATCACTCCGCACTCTGTCTCTTATACACATCTAGATGTGTATAAGAGACAGGAGTAGCCCCGTTCGACGGGGCTACTCGGGACACTCTTTTTTTGCTTCTGGCACCTTACAAATAGCATATGGAATTTTTTTGAAGATGCCATTCAATAGCCCTCGCAAAGAGCTATAAAATGAGCCTAAACTTGTTTATGAAATGTTTAATCGTAAGAAGTTATTAACAAAAAAACGCTCAAAACCGTCCCGAGTAGCCCCGGTTGACGGTATAGCAAATAATTCAGCGCCCAGTATTCAGCGCCCCCAACATCAGAAGATGCTTCCTCGACACAAGCCCCTGCTTCTCCAATCACGATAGGCGGGCCAAAACCTTTCCGAGGTGTGTTAAAATTGACCAAAT